TCCCGATCTCGGCGATGCCAGTGATACACGGGCTTCCCAGGTGGCCGTCACATACGGCCACCAGCCCCCAAATCAGAGGTCATCTTCACCCCGGTGGGGGCAGCCCCCTGTGCTGGTGTCAATGCCAATCTCGAGGCCTCCTCAGAAAGCGCGCGGCATCCGCACCGCTGCGCACAGTGGGCGAGGGTTCTGGGCCCCTCGACGTCGGCGGCACGCCCAGATCTCCGACGACCTGGTGTTTTTGTCCATGTGTGGTTGTTTCAATCTGGCCGTGTGTTCCTCGATGTTCGCCCCCTGGGCGGGTGTTGCTAGAAGAGCCCGTGGCCCAAGGTGCCCCCAGGATTTCCAAGGAGGCCCCCACGGCCTCCAGAGCACCCCACACGAGGCCCAGAGGGCCCCAGGGGCTCCAGCATTGAACGAAAAGCTGGGGGTACCCTGGGCCAGGGGACAATCAATCTGGAGGGTCGAAATGGATACGTATAGGAATAATGGTGACGAAGACAGAGAAGTTCCTGCCCACTTTAGCAGGACTCGCGGTCGGTGTGGCCGCGGACACTGTCCACTCGAGACACAAAGTCGCCTGCCCAACAGCGGCCGCTGTTGATTTGGAACAAAATGTTGTTGGCTATCGTGTCTACTTTTTGTCCGTGCTCATTTTGGGCGTCCAAAATCAAAAAGCACCCAGGGCGAAAAGTTGGCCCAGGGGAAGGGATCAATACCTCTGAGGTTGCGCATTGCAAAAAGCATATCGGCTGGTTCCAGAGCTCGGAGCGGCGAGGTGGGGGCGCGCGAATCGAGGACGAAGAAAACGCCGCAAGCATCAACTTTCGGAGCTCCGCGCGGACCTTGCAGAGGCCAGCTGATGCTGCTTGTGCTTCGTCTAGCGAGGGGTTCGGGCCCCTCCAGCCCAGGCCGCACACATGGCGTCGATGCAACTGGGGTCGGTGGATCGCGCCGCGTCGCCGATGCATCGGCGATGCGGCTCCTCCTCCTCCTCCTCCTCCTCCTCCTCCTTCTCCTCCTCCTCCTCCTCCTCCTCCTCGAGTGTGGAGCTCGAGTTTCCCAGCGCCGACGTCGCCGACGCGTCGGCGGTGCGGCCCGACCCACCGACACCACCTGCCCGGACCCCATTGGGGCGGCCTCCCTCCGGGGGGCCTCGGGCCCAGCCATCTGGGCGGCTCCCCCGAAGAGACGCCGGCCACAGGAGGCATCGCACACCGTGGCGGATCTACACCTTAGGCGATGTTTAAGAAAACTTGAGTTTTCGGCCAGAGTCTCGATTATTCTTAATTTTTCAATGTAAATCCCAAGATTTTGATAGAAGTTCTGGGTTTTATTCAATTTCTGAGACTATGAAATTCTTAACCCATGATTTCTTAAGCATTTCGCCGGGTGTACCCACCGACGCTTCTGCCAGCGCCCAGGCGAAGGTTTCCCCGTGTGGGCTTCTCGAGGCCTCCCAGCTGGGGTCCGAGTAGACGGGGGTCGGAGGATCGCGCCGCGCCGCCGATGCATCGAATCATGCGGCTCGATGTGGAGGCCTAGTTCTGGCTCCCCCGCAGAAGGGCACCCCGGGGGAGTGGGAGCGGGATCCTTGGGGAGGGGCTCCGCGGAGCCCTGGCGGGCGAAGAGCGGCAGCTGCACGAGAAAAGCGAATTGGCCTGCTCAAGCCTGGCCGACGCTTGTTGCCCCCCCCCCCTTTCGCGGCGGGAGCTGCTGCACCCTCACATCCGATCCGGTTGGGGCTGTGGTTAGGGAATGTGCCCAAGAGGCTTCAGATCTTCGAGGATTCCTTAGCTGATGAGGGCGGCAGTGACATCCATGGCCAACCAACGACTGAGGTCCCACCGGCTTCCAGACCCTGGACTCCTTATCCAAAGGTTCCTTGCCAATTGCCCTCACCGTGTGCTTCTCACCTGCGCACCGCAGCGCCGCCCGCTGGTGCCTCTGCCCTCCACCCGAGACATCTGACGCCACGGCGGGGAGGTCACGATGTCGTGAGAGGGCGCACGAGCAGAGCTCCTATCCGACGCGGCGGGAAGGTCACGACGTCGTGAGAGGGCGCACGAATGGCACGACGGGCTTTTCGGATCTTCGAATGTGCCCCCACATGTCTCAGTATCACATGGCTCGGCAGATGTCACGGGCTACATTGCCCGGTGATGGTGGTGGTGGTGTTGTTGATGATGATGGTGATGATGATGGTAATGGTGATGCTGATGCTGGTGATGGTGATGATGCTGCTGATGATGATTGCCATAATGGCGATGATGATGGTGATGACAATGATGATGATGATGATGATGATGATGATGATGATGATGATGATGAGTGATGATGATGGTGATGGTGATGATGATCATGATCATGATGATGATGATGATGGTGATGATGATGATGATCGTGGTGGTGATGGCGATGGTGATGGTGAAGATGAAGGCGGTGGTGATGGTGATGTTGATGGTGATGGTGTTGAAGATGATGATCGTGACGGTGATGGTAGCGATGGTGGTGGTGGTGGAACATGTTATGATGCTGGTGCTGTTGATGATGATGGTCGTGATGATGATGATGATGATGGCGATGGTGACGATGGTGATGATGATGATGATTATGATGATGGTGATTGTGATGGTGATGGTGATGGTGATGGTTATGATGCTGGTGGTGACACTGATGATGATGACGCTGATGCTAATGCTGATGGTGATGGTGATGGTGATGATGGTGATGGTGATGGTGATGATGATGATGAAAATGGTGATGATGATGATGATGGTGATGCGACAACGAAGACGAAGACGATGACGATGATGATGATGATGATGATGATGATGATGATGTTGATGTTGATGAGTCTGATGATGATGATGATGATGATGATGATGATGATGATGATGATGATGATGATGATGATGATGATGATGATGATGATGATGATGATGATGATGATGATGATGGCGACCGTGGTGCCCGCCGATGCTATGTTTGCAAAAATCCGTCCTGCAGAGACATGTCAGCCGGATCGTCAGCTGTTGGCGCCATCTTCACGTGAGATCCCTCAGGCTGGATCGGCCTGTGAGGGCTGCACGGGGGTCCAAGGGCGGGGCAGGAGCGCCCAGCGCGGTCTTCGAGACGCAGGAGCTTCGGGACCCCGGCCGTGCTCACCCGAGGCGCTCCCACGGGACGCTCCAGAGGGGCCCTCGCCTTCGAGGATCGGAGACGTTGGCATCTCTTCCTCTGCGGAAGGCGGCGGAAGGCCGGCGGAAGACGGCGGAGGTAAAAGATTCGGCCAGGCGTAAGAGTGACCTTTCGCCGGAGTGACCTTTGGTGCGGGCCCAATGGGGCCCCCCGGTCGCCGAACGCGATGCGACAGTAGCGTCTTGCACGCTTGTGTTTGGTCCCCCCTGGTCCCCAAGAAGCCGCGCACCAGAGGTCACTCTTACCCAGGGTCACTCTCGCGCGTAGTCGAAAGATGCGCCCCAAGGAGATGGCAACATCTTAGGGTGCAGGATTTCTGGAACCCGCCACGTGGAGCCGAGCTCGGCCAGAAACGTCTGCTCCGCGCGTCGCTCCGCCAGTTCTGGCCCCCACGCCGCGTTGCGAGGAGTCCAACCACGTCCCGGTCCCCAGGCATCAGCGTTCCGAGCTTTTCCCAGCGTGCCGTCCTGCGGAGCGGAGCGGCACGCTATCAGTTCGCACCTCATAGCGTGTCGCCGCGGCCACTGCCGCCGCGACGCTCTCAGCCAAAATCCCCGACGGAAGCCAGCGCATACCCATGCGCGTTTTGTTTCATAAACACACACTTTGTTTGTTTTTGTTTTTTTTTTCTCTCTCTCTCTCTCTCTCTCTCACACACACACACACTGCAATACCCGCCGTCGTTCGGTCGCCAGTCTGGTCGGGGCCCTCGGCGCCTGTGGCCTAGCCCTAGGCGACCTCAGGCCGATTCAGACGTGGAGCTCTGGCTGGCCATCCCGATCGCTGTCGAGGGATGACGTCCAACATGACCGCGTCGACAAACATCATTGATAAAACGGAAGGGCACTTTTTCCACATGGTGACTACCTATCGACCCCGCCTCCCCATAATTCCCGCCGCTGGCGGAATCGCGGTGGCTCGTCAGTGGATGATCACGCTGCCAAGCGATACCACGGGAGGAGGAGGAGGAGGGAGGAGAAGGAGGAGGAGAGGAGGAGGAGGGAGGAGGAGAAGTATGAGGAAGGGAGTAGTAGGAAGAGTGTGCCCATGAGCCGACAGCTACGAATGGTGTATTGCGGCACATGCGAGCTTGGGCGAGGTGCCTGTGGTAATGGCCTGGGCCGCGTCCCAGGAGTCAGAGGCGAAATCCATCACGTGGCGAACGAGACGCCCCCCCCCCCGGAGGGCCCACCAGGTCAGCTCGTTCATCCTCGTCCTCGTCGATCCCCCCCCCCCCCCGTCACGACCGTCTCGAGGCGGAGGCCCCCCAGGACGCTCGACCCCTTCCGCGGGGCTGGCCTTTCGTCCCGAGTCACTGCTGCTGTCGGCCCTGGGACCTGGGGTCCCAGGCGGGCTTTCGATTTCCCAGAGGTGTCGGGAGGTCTGCCTCCAGAGGCCCCAGGAGGTCCCTGCGCCGCCCAGGCCCAGGGCGCTCACGATCCTCGATCCCTCGCCTTGTCCTCCCTTGCTCCCGGCTTGCTGTGTCCCCTCTGTCGCTTCCCGCCTGCCCGCCCGCTTGCTTCGCCCCGCCGGCCTTGGCCTCCCGCATGCGCGTTCGCCGTCGTCTGCTGGTGTCTCGTTCCCTTTCTCCCTCTCCGTCGCCGCGCATCACAGACTACCAGTAGCCCGCGGCGGACCCTCTTGGACCCATCCGCTCCAGATCCTCGATCCTCGAATCCTCGAGCCCCGACCGTCGATGCTCGACCCTAGTGGGGCGGAGGCGCTCGGAGCCCCCGTCGCCGCCGCGGCCACCGCCGCCGTCGTCACCGCGGCCGCCACGGCCGCCGTCGCCGCCGTCGTCGTCACCGCCCGCGTCGCCGCCGTGGTCGCCGCCTTCGTCGCCGCCGTCGTCGTCGCCGCCCGCCGCCGCCGTCGCCGCCCGCCGCCGCCGTCGTCTGCATCTCTCCGCGGGGCGTCGCCGCCGTCGTCGCCGGCGGGTGAAGGGGGCGGCGCCGAGGACTGCCTGCGGCGCATCTCCGAGGCGGAGGCCGCGCTCGACGGCGCCCGCGCCGCGGTCCTGGGCATCGGCGGCGCACCGCTCGGCGTCGAGAGGCCGGAGCCGCGGCCCCAGCGGCCCCCGCGAGGCGTGCGGGCTGAGAGCTGGCGGCGCGCCGCCGAGGGGGGGAAGCTCTGGGTTCGAGGTGCGAGGTTTTCGGGTGTTGTGGTCGGTGCTGGGCGGTTTCCCAGCCGCGGGATGCGCTCCAGCAGCTGCGCATCGCCCAGAGCGCTCTGGTGCATGGATCGTCCAGAACGGGCTGCGGAGACCAGAGCTGTGGCTCGAAAGCCAAAACTACCTCGCTCGGCGGCGCGCCGATTGGGGACAGGCCTTTTCAGAAGAAGGCGGGGCTTCTCAGAAGCCCACCGGCCTGATGAGAAATCCCCTTGTGGTTTCGGAGAAGGCTTTGAGAGCTCCTCTGAAGACCAGAGGCCTTCGGAGCCTTCTGAGCAGGCCCGCCGCGTTCTGCCTTCCCTTCTGGGCGCGCCGCCGAGAGAGGAGGAGGGGGGGGAACTCGCCGAGCTTCCAGCAGCAGAGCAGGAAGGAGAAAGAAAGCATAGACGCAGCTTTTCGAAGCTACGCGCAGATGTTCTGGGTCGGCGCGGGCCCCCCCTGGCGGCGCCGCCCGGGCGGTCCAGCGCCGATCCAAGAAGGCCCCGCGGACCCCTGACAGTTCAATGAAGCTCGCTCCTCTTGAGTTCTAGACAGTGAGCGCGCACCGAGGGGCCACCAGCCTGCCCCAAGCAGAGCAGAAAAGGGCGGGAGCGCAGCCGCGTGCTCGATGACCTGGCGATCTCGCTCAGAGGAGCAGGACAGCATGGTGACGATACGTTCCAGGATCCCCAGCATCCCCAGGATCCCCCAGGTTTTCTCAGTGCCCCACACGGGCTGCAGGAACGAGACCCGCCGAGCTATTCTGGAAATCCTGGAACGCATCCCGAGCCAATCCCACCATGGCATCACCGCTGAACCCACTCGTGGCCAGCGGCCACAGCCCACACAAAGGGCGAGGGAAGCGTGGCGCCCCCGAAGCGTCGCAGGCCACTGCCTCCCCCCCATTGACGCTTCCATTCTTCCCGCCGCGCGCAGGCGCGGGGAAGGACGTGGCTTCGGGTCTGGCGACACGGTGGGGGGGGCCAGATCTCGACGACGAGAGTGTTGTTCCACTGGGGCGTTTTTCAGTGGTAGCGGCGTCTGGGAGGTCATTCTTGGGCCCGGGGACCACCAGACATGGATCTGGAGCGAAAGTCTACCCCGGGCAAGGGGTCGGAATTTCATGGGACCGCGGGCTAAAAACAGATGATTGTCGGATATATATATATATATATATATATATATATGGTCCCTGGCTCCGGGCCCACGGGCCCCACCCCCTCCCCCCCAGATGGTATGGTCCCAGGGTTCCTCGGGCCCCCCCCCCCCAGATGGTATGGTCCCAGAGACGACGACGACGACGACGACGACGACGACGACGACGACGACGACGACGAAGACGACGACGACGACGACGACGACGACGACGACGACGACGACGACGACGACGATAACGACGATGACGACGGCGACGGCGACGACGACGACGACGACGACGACGACGACGACGGCGGCGACGACGACGACGAGGACGACGACGACGACGACGACGACGACGACGACGACCTCTGAACCACCACAGCACCACACCACATCCACAGGGGGGGGGGAGGGGGGCGTCGACGGGTGAGGGGCGCGCAGGCGGCCTCGGGCACCGAAAGCGGTGTGCGACAAGTAGCGGAGCAGCGAGAGGACCAAGCCGTCGAGACAGAAGACGGTCATCCATGCAGACGCGTGCTTGTGCGGTCGTGCGGCAGACTGTACGTACACCTATCCCAGGAGCGCCAGCTCGGTAGTGTGTGGAGGCGCAGCCCATCCCCGAGCGCGGTGACTCTGGGCTTGGATCGAATTACAGCGTGCTCGTCTCGAAAAAGAAAGACGGCACTCCCTGGATCGGCGCTGGGCCTTCCCCGGCGGCGCCTCCGGCGCCGCCCCCGGCGCGCTCCGCGCTCCTGGGAGGGGGGTGCGGCGCCGATGCGAGAGATCCGCGCGGACCGCCGACAAAAAAATTACGGTTGTGCCGTTCCGTGATACTCCTCCGTGGGTATTTGCTTGTTTTCCTCTGCCTGCCGACCAGCTGGCCGACCGCCGAGGCTGCCCAAGGCGCGGAGCCCGCAGCCGCCACGGCGCTCCTCCACGTGGACTCCGGGGTCGGCTGCGGAGCAGGCCCTCTGCTTACAGCAGCGCCCCCCGTGCCCAGGCTTCCCAGGTTGGGTCCGAGCAGATGGGGTCGGAGGATCGCGCCGCATCGCCGATGCCTCGGCGGTGCGGCTCGATGTGGAGCCCGAGTTCCTCCACGTCGACGGCGCCGATGCATCGACGGCGCTGCCGACGCATCGCCGATGCGGCGCGGGCCCATGCGTCGCCGATGCGGCGCAGTCCTGTGGCATCTACTCGGACCCCATTCGAATGGGCCTCTCAGCGTCGGGAGGGAGAAGCGGCAGACTGGGGGAAATGAGCGGGTTTGTTGTTTCGTCCTCTTCTCCCTCGTCCTCTTCCTTCGAACGACGGCTAGCCGAGCGTGGCGCCTGGGCACTGGACCCAGTGCCCGCCGCCAGATAGAGGGCAAGAGATGTGTTTAGCCGATGTGGACCATCGAGGAGGAGCCGAGGGATCAGGAGTTGTTGGGGACGTTGAGGGCTATGAAGGTTCATTGCGGCTGTGAGGGCACAATGTACGTTGCTGAGTGGGAGTCAAGGAAGTTGGCCGGTGGAAATCAGGGGGGGTCGCCGGGATCGAGGGGATAGTTTGATGATAATATCAAGGTAACGATAAGGAGGGGGAGGAGGAAGAGCTGCAGCAGAAGGAGCAGGAGCAGGAGGACGCGGAGGTGGGAATGGAGGGAGGAGGAGCAGGGGGAGGAGGAGGATAAGAGGAACGAGCGAGAGAAAGAAAGGTGGACACGAGCGAGGAGGATAAGAGGGACGAGGAGGATAAGAGGGTTGGATAAGAGGAACGAGGAGGATAAGAGGAACGAGCGAAAGAAAGCAAGGAGGCGGAGAGGAAGGTGCAGCAGGAGGCAGGCACCTTGAGACGTGTCTGCCTGTACGTGACAATGCGTCCCTGCTTGATTGTTGTTTATCGTGGGGGGGTGCTCTGGTGTTTAGCTGGTTGGGGGGGGGGTTCTGCACAGCGGGGTCGGTGCACGCGTTACGGCATGTGTTCGTAGAACGAGCTTGGCACACGTCCTAATTCGTTTCTTGCATTGCGGCACGCGGCACGCTCACTCGTTGTTCAGGCCACGGTTCAGTGCATGAGCTTGCCTATTACAGGTCGGTTCGTGTGATGTTCCCGGTTTGCCTGGCGACAGGTTGGTTAGCACAGCGGTCGAGGCCAAGTCGGCTGAACAGTTTTGTGGTCGCGCTACCTCCTCGAACAAAAGTGTGTGGGGTATTTTGTCCTGCTCCTTGGAGCCGTTCCTCTTGCTCCCGCTCCTCCACTCCTTTTCCTTATTCAAGATTTCTCCCTGTCGGACACCAAGGCGTGTCGGTAGGGAGGGCTAGGCGTTCCGCTTGAGATCCCCTCACCGCTAATGATTCTGAAGCTTCAAAGTCGCAGCAGGTACACGGCTGGAGCACGAGCCGTTTTGTAAGAAGGAGGTTTTCGCCTTGGCGCCGCGCGCAGTCCTTGTTCGAAGTGGCGCTCTCGCTCGAGACCCTCTCAGACTGAAACCGGAAGCGTCAGCACGTACCACGCAGCAGCTGCGCGGTTGGAGGGCGGTTCTTTTTCAAAAGAGGGTGCGCACCTTTCTAAGGTCTCCCCGCGGTGCACGGCCACCCCTGTAAAACCTGTGCAGCAGCTGCGTACACGCTTAGGGGACGATTCTTTGTCAAGCCGGCGGTCGCGTTGGACGCCCCGTTGAAGGTATGGCCGTGCGTTCTCGCATTCCTGATCTTGCGCTCGAGCGACGTGAAGCGGTTCCTTCTCAAGACGAGGCCCTCGCCTGAACGGCAGGCCCATATAGGGGTGCTGGTCTTGGAAGGGGGCGCTTCCCCGAGTGGAAAAGGAGGACGTGCAGGGACCTGCTAGGATGGGGCCCGGGACGGGAGGGCGCGCTGCAGCATCATCGATGCATCCTGGATGTGTGATGGCCCTTCTCTTATGTTTCCTCCTCCTCCTCCTCCTCCTCCTCCTCCTCCTCCTCCTCCTCCTCAGCACCACAGCGATCACAACGTCCGCCTCCCCTCTCCTCGTCCACTCTCACTCCTCGTCCTTCCTCCTTCCCTGCTGCTCCCCGCCGCCCCGCTCTGCCCTCCCCGCCCCCCCCAGCGCCTTTCCCGCTCCCCGTCATCTCCCTTTCTGCTCCCCAGCGGCCCGCTTCCCCCTCCTTCTCGGTCCCCCTCCTCCCTCCCTCCTCCCCTCTTCCCCCTCCTCCCCCTCCCCCATTCCCACAGGGAAGAGCGGAGGGAAGAGGGCGAAGGGGGAGCAGAGGTGGAGCAGGGGGAGGAGGATAGATGGGGGGAGGGAGGGGGCCAGAGGGGAGATAGGAGCATTGAGAAGGAGGGAGTGGGGAGTGACAGGAGGAGAAGGGGGGGGGCAGAAGGGGAGACGAAGAAAAGGGAGAGTGGGCGAGAGGAATCGGAAGGGGAATGAGGGATGGGGGAGAGATAGTAGGGAGAGAGGAAGGGGTGAGGGGGGGAAGGAGGAGGGAGGGGATGAAGAGAAGGAGAAGGGAAAAGACAAGGAGGGAGAGGGGTTGAGGGCCCCGAGCAGGAACTGACACCTGTGCTCCAGCCCAGCGTGCGGTTCTTGGACCAGGCGCCGGGACGGTTATCATATGTTTGTTGTTCATATATATATATACATCTATATCATGTTTTCTCTCTCTCTCTCTCTCTTCCTCCCTCTTTGCCACCAGCACGGAAGGGTGGGCAGATCCGTTCGGTGCAGTCGGCCTTCAGGAAAGGTTCGCGAATGCAGTTACGTTGCGCAAGATCGCATCCGCTCACATAATAGTCCTTCGGCTACGCGTTTGAAGTTGTTTCCGAAGCTGTTATGCAGTAGCGCGCATGACATGATTGAGTCGTTGACTTGTGGGAAGAGACGCCCTCGCTTAGCACCAGGCCCAGATGGCAATGTACGTTCGTGCCTGCGGAAACCAAGTTGGAGGGGAATCCCTTCGTAGCGCTCCCTTGCTTCATCCGACACCCCCTCGAGGGTATATTGTGCCAGGCGACAACCAATTGGGAAGTTGTGTGATGTGTGTCGCATTTCTCCAGAGAGTGATTGAGCGCCCTGTGGACTCCACGAAAGCGTGTCTGCGGCAACCACGCGACGCGAGACAGTTCGCGTTCGCGAATACGGATGCCAGTATCGGAACCGGTCTGGCGGGGTGGCCGGTGATGCACGTTGCACAGCAGAGTGTTGACACAGCCCAGCTTGGAGCTGGCCAGCTGCAGGATGTGTGGCATCTTGTTCTTCCCCTTCGACAGTCCCGGTCTTTGCCGCCCCCGCGTGGTTGCGGTTCCACCGATTCCGCGGCAGCGATTCCGAGCCCGCTCGTTGGATTCAGTAACCGCGTGTTGCTCACGTGCTGCGCGGGTCCTCGACCTCTCTCGGGTCGCACGGAGCGCCCAGAGTCTAGCAGGCGATGGGTTGTCACCACGAGACCTGGCGTCACTGCGCTCGTTCGGTTTGGGGAATGGGTTCCAACCCATCGACGGGTACGCTTTACGCTTTCGGTCCAGAGTTTCGCGCCCCACTGCACCCGTGCTAACAAAGTCTTTCACTCCGCCGGGGCCGTGGTCGCTGCCCTTCCTCTTCTTCCTTGCACCCTACATGCTCAAGTGCGCCAGCAGCGGCGCAATCCATACGTCACCGAGCCGTCGCGACAGCAGGCAGTGCTTAAACAGTATTGGCTCGGGCTGCACCCCTGCATTGAAGAATGCATCGAGCGAGTCAGGCATCGGTCAGGGACTTGCACTGGCACATCCTACATCCTTCCCGCGCCATCTTCAGTCGCCCGCATCTTATGTTGCATCTTCGGGGGACTCGCCTGTCCCCGAAATCGGTATCTTTTCTCGTGCCCGACGCGGGCTCAATGCGGACTCGACGCGGATTTGACGCGGATTCGACACAGAATCGACGAGTCCGACGTGGATTCGATACGGATTCGACGCGGACAGGGCCACCACGGGACAGACAAGGTCCCCCGGAGGATGCAGCACAGCGCATCTCATTCGTGCCCGTGCTTTCGATGGCACCCTCCGCAGCCCCGGCAGGAAATGTGCACATGCATACGTGGAAAATGTCACTGGGCCTCGGCCGGCAACCACTTGCAAGCTTTGCGCAAATGGCGCGCCCCCACCCCCTCGCTGCCGCGCCCCCCCCGCACTCCGGGGCTCGAGCCGGGCCACCTCGGCAGCCGCGCGCGCCAGAGCCTCGGCCGCCCGCGCGCGCGCGCGCCTGCCCGGGCAGTACGGGGCGCGGGCGCTCGCCGCCGGCGGCGGCCGCGGCCACGGGCGGATGCAGGTCATCGGGGCGGCAGTGGCATCGGGTCGGGCGAAAGGGGGGGATTGGGAAAGGGGGGGTTACGAAATTTGCTGCATGCAGCTGGTTTCGGCCTCGCCGAGGGGCCCATTCCTCGATACATAGCCGCCTCCGGCGCCGGGAAAATCAGCTACGTGAGCTGATTCTCAAACCCCCCCTTTGCTATCCCCCCCCTTTCGTCCGACCCGATGGCAGCACGATGCCACCTCGGGGCTCGAGAGGCGGGGGTCAGTGCAAGCGGGGGTCAGCCAGAGCGCTGGATCTTGCAGGATCCTGCAGAGCCAGGGGTGCACCGACCCGGGCTTGCGTGCAGGATCCTGCAGGATCCTGCAAAGCTCGACTGACCAGGGCCTGGATTGATCCCGGTCAGTAGATCCCCGAAGTGGCATCATGATGCCACAGGCCTCGTGGGCACCATGGCTCGGCGGCGTGTCCTTGGAGGAAGCGAGAGGGGGCGGGCCTGCTCGGAAGTCGGCGGGGCCTCTCAGAGGCTCTCCGGCCTTCCAGGAGAAGCCCCGTGTGGCGTCGGGGGAGGCTCTCAGGAGGCTTCTCGGAGGGCCAGAGGCCCTCTGAGCCGTCTGGGAGGGCCCGCCGCCTCTGCCTGCCCCCCTGGGCGCGCCGCCGAGTGGCGACAGGGGGATTGCCAGCACCGGGTGGGGGAAGAGGAGGAGGAGGAGGAGGAGGAGGAGGAGGAGGAGGAGGAGGAGGAGGAGGAGGAGGA